GTGTAAATTCACAAAAGAGTGTCTCAGCTCACCTTTTTGACAAGATATTGAGCATATTCCTGTTCAAATCTTTTCAGTAGAGCCTTTTTGAGAATCTCAGCCTGAGGAAACGCAACATCCTTCAGTTTCTGTAGATTAATCAGAATGAAGTAAGTGTCCAACTTTCCTTGAAAACAATTAGTAATGCAAAAAAACAAACAAAATAAAACTGGATGACGACCTTTAGTGTATCCTTTTTCTCAGGAATGTTGGCTGTCTTGTAATCCCGATGCTTGGGAAGTTTTTCTATAAAGAGCCTTAGGAGGGGGGAAAAAATATCAAGACCCATAAAGGTCAAAAAACTCTTAAGAGAGGTCTTTACGTAAACTCCTTTAGCTTACTTCAGTCAATGTGGACAGAAATGTGAAAAGACACTCACGTAATATATTTATTGTAAAGGACAAAGGCATGCTCGATGTTGCCCTCCTCCGTGTAGATGTTAGCCATGCGGATCATCTCCATGCCTGAGCGGAAGTAGCGGCGTGGGGGCATGTCGTCATTAATCTCCACCGAGCTGCCCTTCTTGGTCAGGGCGCGGACGCGCTCCTCCGGCTGCAGGCTGACATCAGTGTGATCGGCCATCACGATGGCTCAACCTGTAAGACTGGAGAAACAGGCTGACTCAGTGGTGCCTTTAAGCCAACAGTGGATTCATAACGCCGGGTTTAAACATCCGAGAGCCTCTGAACACACCGTCAATCTGAATTCTGACTTGGAGGTAAAACTAAACATGATTATTTTGGTTAATACTGAGAAAAAGACAATTTAACACAATTATTCAAAGACTGTGCAGAGTCAGACTTTCATTCTCAAACAGGAATTGGAAAGTCTAAGCAGGTAAAAAACAAAACTATAGAGCTAACTAGAGTGGGGAATAAATAAGAGAACATTTAGTTGGCCCCCTTTAAACCTCTAAAATGCTGCACATTTGTTTCACAGTTTTTATGTCAGACACTGCTTCATCTGCTTTCAGAACTCTCTACAACCTTCATGAGTCCTAAGGAAATGTACATTTTATTAGAAGTTAACAGCAAGAAGGAATCTTGAAAAAAAAAAATTAAGGCATATCCAGCTGGAGTTTTTAACAAATGACTCTATTAGGAATTCACAATGACATCACTGGAAACTATGCGTATATAGAGTATATTTTAAGTTAATTAATTCAGTAAGTATGTAGGAAACACAGACTCTCGTATACGCTAGCACAAAGAGGCAGTGTGTCCAGAGTATCAAGGCCACAACTCAGTCTAAAAATCACTGGCTGCTGAATATATTTAGGAAAAAAAAAACTGCTGGGAGGGTCGATTTGGTGTGACTCGAGGTTCTCTAGGCTTCATCAGCATGCTGACTAACAGTCAAATGGCTGCTATTGATTCTCCCATGATGGCTTCTTGGCTAGAAGGCACAGAAACACAGTGTGTAAAGAGGCGGCCACTTCTTAACAGTTTAGCTCAAGAGGTGTGGCGCTGATAAAAGCAGCGGAGGGGTGGTACTTGTGGTTCATGTTGTCCAGTGCTATCTACCGTTTTCTTTCTAACATACACAGCTGCACAAACAGTCTTGCCCCCCCCCGCCCAAACCCCCCCCAAAAAAACAATACAATTGTGTGTGTATATATAGACTATATTATATATGGTCTATATAACAAGTTTGTAATATTATGTAACACATATTTAGTCACTGCTTTGTTAAGTCTAAATTATTTATGTTGCCCACATAAAGTAGATGATGAACATAAAACTAAGGAGATATTCATGGAGAAAAACTAAACTTTATTACCAATTACAACACTGATATCTGCATAAAATATTGAAACTTGTTTTGTAGACTCAGAATAGGCCTGTAGGAAGTGACTACCCGTGATGGTATTTTTGGTAAACAAAATTTGCTTTATGGATAAGTGTCTGTAAGCCTAATTATAAAAACGGCTTAAAGATATTATGTATTTAAAAAGGTGTTATTTTTCATTTGGCTCCAATACTCTTCTTCTACGCAAGAAAGCCTAGAGAAACCTTAAACCTTTTAACATGATTATCCAGTAATCTACCCTTATTGTAGACTCACACAGAATTAAAACAGGCCGAAGAGATGACAACCACAGCTGGGGTTGGCAGCGTGTGATACTAAATTTTATAGTTGAGATAAACCCTCAAGAACTTCAGAAGCATTCAGTCATCAAATGCGGGTAAAAATTAGATTTCTCAACATGACTGTGTATTTTAAGTCTATATAACTATATAATATCAAAATTAACCTGCAATAAAAACACGAATAAGGTGCTTGACATGAATAAATTCCTTAGAAAATTTATTGACAGAGTATTTGAGAAAGTAAAACGTAAAAACCACAGTGACAGTAACTTTTATGTTTACAGTCAGTGTGATCTTTATAGAAACGGGTAAATTACAAATATGTCGTGCCAGACTTCGTTTTTTATCCAAACAATTTGCCAGCTCGGTCATGGCCTATTTAACCTTCAGGGTTGCTTTCACCTCCTTTAAAAACTTCACGACACTCCCTGTGTGTCACTATATTTTCCCATCGATCCCTGTATCCCTGTCACTGAACTGATCGAGCTCTTTAAAAACGTCGCGTTAGCCTATGCTAAGTTAGCCTCTAATAAACGGGTAAAAAGCTCCCCACCTCCGTACAAATTCCATCATCCTTCTTACCTGATCGAGCCGTGAACCTGAACCCGAAGCTCCCACAGAACTACATACAAGTGGATAATAAACACGGTCAAATTACGGCCCCAAGGCTAATTGTTAGTAAGCTGCGCCTACAACCAACAGCATCTGTACACTTCCGCAATCAAAGCAACTTCCGCCCGACTAATCCTCACGCAAGCGCAGAAGTATCCCTGTAATTTAGTTTCTTTCGCATGGATATGGGCTTTGTGTTGTGTTTAAATATATATATACACTGATCTGGTGAAAATTTTCAGACAAAAATTGATTTATTTTAAGTGTTTGATGGTCATTTTGCAGTCTTTTGCTATTTGTTTGTGTAGCTATTGACTTCATGTGTTTTCAAGCTTTTCCTATATAAAAACATTTTCTAGCATTTCATTGGACAGTTCGCCTCGTACTTTACACACGCATGCGCTGTCCTTCCCCAGGTGGCCTTGTGCTCTGGTACTTTCCCTTGCTTAGTGATATGCATTTGAAACGGCTGGTCCAGAACAGCGGATGCGTTTCAGGCTGAATGGGGTGACGTCAGCCATCAGCCCAGGCACCAACCAATCAAACCACGGTATCCTGAGAGAGAGCGACGTGGTTACTCGTGCAGTCTGGCATCAAAATGTCGAGACCTTGATTACTGTGTTCAATAATGAATATACTGTATATTAAGTGTAACCAGCAATTAGCCTAGCTCGTTCGAATATGATGGACGATGTTCCACGAAGCAGCATGGCTCGTTGGTCTAGGGGTATGATTCTCGCTTTGGGTGCGAGAGGTCCCGGGTTCAAATCCCGGACGAGCCCTTTATTTGTTAATGTTTACGGACTGTATGAGATCGTGGGCGCTTGGGCAGTAAAAAAAAAGTATACACATCCATTGATGTAGCGCACTTTATGCAAATGAGTTCTCACTGTGTTCGTCAGGCTTATCTGCGTGTCTTTAGGGTACTTTGTGGGTTTATTATATATAATCGTAAATAGAATTCACATGAAATGTTCTGAATTACACGGTAGGGATGGAACAACACATTTACTTTGAATTACTTTTTGTGATCACAGTTTACTTCATTATATTAATTGAACATTTAAGGATGAAATTGGGAATTTAAACCAAAAATTAAATGACAAATAAATTTGGAAAATAAATCCGTCCACTCCTTCTTTTGTGGAGTTCTTACCATAATAACATATTTGTTTGCTTTGGCATATTTTATATCATGACCTGTATTTATCTTATTATATTAAATTCATTTCTGCTAGTTTTTTTTAAAGGTTTAAGATATTTAACAATATTGTTTAGCAACACATGAACGTTTTAAATCATTGGTCAGTTGCCACTAATGGATAAATAGCTTGTTGACCTACTTCTCATTTTTAAAATATTTTGCTTCCAAGGTAAAGTGTTTTTTTTGGGTTTCTGCAGGTCTATCAAATTTCTTCTTTGCAATTTCTTCTTTCTATGCATAAAATACAACAAGCATTTTTGGGCATGTCTATCTCAAAAAACTAAAATTTGTAATTTAGTTTACTCTTAAAAAAGAGAGACAAAGACAACAGAGTTTTACAGGCATGAAATAGTATTTCTGCACAAATAAAGTGACCCCCAAAGCATCTGAAATGAGGGTGTATTTCTTTTCTGAGGAAAAAAAAAGTTGGGGATGAAAGATGTGGCAGGCCTGAAAATCCTATCTACAGCAGGCAGAAAGGGAATCAGGTACGACAGTGAATGTGTAAAGCCCTCTGTAAAACACAGTGGAAGCATGTTGATGGCTTTGCACTTCATGGCAATTGCCAAGATCTTATCAAAAATGACAGAAATATGGACACAGATAAATACTATGAGGGAATGTAATTTGGAGGGTGTCTGACTGGCAGAAGGTTTATTTTTCACAGACTGATCCCAAACAGACTGGCAATGCAGAAAAACACACAGAGGAGCATGGACCGGGCTAGCCAATGTTCAATAATGATGACCTCAACATTAGTGAATAGTCAACTACCTCACTTTTTGTTCAACAATAAACAACCTATAACAATCCTTTTTTGATCCTTTTAATTATAATTCAGGTAGTGTGGGATCATCTTGAGAATATATATAATATGTAGAATGATGAAGTGAAGTAGAATATCACAAAACATTAGTTAAACTAATGTTAGGTAAAAATAAAAAAAAGTAAAATAAATATAAATTTGAATGTAAAGTAATATAGCTCACGCATAATCAGGGTACAGGGTTTTCGTGCAGTACCACCTTTGAACGCAAGGTGGCAGACACGGCCATGTGGAAAAAGCCAGTGCGGTCTGTGACGCCACAGTGAAAATGACCACATCCTCCACGCGTTCCTGCTGCCAGGGGCTAAAAAGCAAGCGTCCTGTCTGTGTGAACGCCTGAGCAGCGCCGGATGGATCGTCCCCACCACAGCTGACATTTTCACTCCCTGTATTTGACGTCGCGGTTCGTGTCGGAGCCACGGGAATTGAATTGTTGACAGGAATTGACGTCAAGCCTGATTTTCTGTCCCTAACAGTGGCACCCGGTAAGCTAACTCTCCAGGCTAATCTAAAACCAGCTAATATACCTGACTCCAGGTTATCAGACCACTAAGATAAAACGTCTGCTCAGTTTTATTGATGAACACAGGGTAGTGTGTCCGTGTTTATTCAGCGTAAGCATTTAAGACCATAGCTAAATAATCAATTGTTTTTTAGTGTAGAAGCTAACATTATAAAGCTAGATAAGTAATCTTCAAGCTTTTTAACTCATTCAGTTTTGGGTTTAGTGTTCTCCACGATAATCCATAGATTTGTCTTTGGTGAGAAATAAAGGAGTGCAGACAGGTGAGACTCACCCAGGTGTCTGTAGAAATCTGCCAATAAAAAAAGAGTCCCTTTAATGTATGCATGTAATATCTGTTTTCTGGCACACATTAAATCTCATTTTGGTCACTGGAAGTCGGAACTGTTATTCAGTACTACTACTGCTTCTAATTTTTACTCAACTTATATACAGCTGTATTGCATAGGATGAGTTAATTGTTAATTTATCTTTTATTGCTCACACTGACAGTTGCTTAAACCTGTAAAGTCCACTGCCTCGTCAGTCGTTTAGGGTCGCTTGTAGTTTATAGGTCACATTATGAAATGTTATAGTTTATATGACAGTCTGCAGAAAGTCAAAAGTAATAATGATTAGGAGTATTGTGAATGAGATTGGAGCCTTTACAAGTATCTCAAAGGCCCTTTATTTTAATTGTTAACTTTACAATTCAGTTTAGTGTTTTATTTAGTTGTATTTCATTTTATTACTTTCAGTGTTATTGTTGTAAAATAACTACAGTGTGTGTGCATACAGACACTATGGTTTGGAGATATGAGCACAGAGGGGTGTACTACAAACATGGTTTAACACAGCCAGCCTTTCTTTGCATTAGCTGGTGTGACCAAAGCTAAAACCACATTTGGGGATAAAAGATATCAAATTCTCTGTTAAGCTGACTTTCTGCTTCAGGCTCTGTGGGCTTTCACATATAAAGGGGCATGTCGCATATGTCATACGATTCTTGCTTTATAAGATATACATTAATCATTTTTTAAAGCAATGATGTTAAATTTGTTTGGTGCTGAACTTTGTAAAATAAAAAAGCATGGCAGCTTTTCCTTTGACAGCTCTCTCTCTGTGCGTGCACCACCTACACAAACATGTTGTGCGTGGAGTGGAGCCAACACTAGACATGTGAAGGGAAATACTATTAATAGAGTTTGGATTGCAGGTGAGAAATGAGCAAAGATCTGATCTGAAAAGATGTGCCTGTTGTCACTGATGCATGATCTGGCTTTTTTCAGTCAGGATTAGACTGACATCTGTCCTCCTCCTGCCATCAGTGGTGCATTTTCGATATGAAATTGGGACGGGTGAGATGTTTCACTGCTCTCACAGGCCCATTGGGTGATGTGTATGCGCTTTACTTTGTGTGCTAAAGGCCCTGGATTCATATTTTGTTTGTTCCACGCCTGTATGATAGCACATAATAATGCACTATCATACATACTTTATATGTGCATTATCTGCAAGCACCTCAAGCTTTCCAGTTATCTACAACAAGATGCTTTACTTTATGTGTGAGTCTGCCGTTTTCAAAGGCTTTTCTGACTGCTATCACGGCTTGCTGTGCGTCTCGTTGTTCTTCAAGCATTTAACTTGTCCCAGGTCATGGTTTCCTTTCACTAATGGATTTCAAAAAATTGCGTAAAAAGTGCACACAACAACAAAAACACTATAATTCAGAAACACGGTTTGCCGATCTGTTCAGCTGTTCGTGGCACTTCCTACGTTGAAATAAACGTCATCGTGTTTTCAGAACAAACTATCACATGTCAGCCATTATTTGCAAAACCCAAATTTTACATTTTTGCAGGAAATGTAGTTTATTTTCCCCCTCGGGGCCTTTTGAATGCCCACTGGTGCTACTGAAAGAACTATACAGTTTCTGTATAATTCCAGGAACACTTAGAACTTTGACCTGTTGAAAATGGTTTATTTTGATGCACATGCTGCATTTTGCAAATTGTGCACAATATTTATTTTAGTTTTTGCTGCAGTTTTTAAAAATGAGCTTATCTCAGAAATTATGAAGACACTTAAAATAAACTTCCTGTGATTGGAAACTATTTTGCATAATGTTTTTGCATTTATAGATTTAAGGGATATCTTTCACATTTCTGTAACTAGAAAAACAATTTTCAGTTTCTTTTGTAGTCTTTGCACTTTTTTAGCAATTTATGTAGTTACTAGGGGTAAAACGATACACAAAATTCACGGTTGGTTTGATACTTTGGTGTCACGGTTCAATATTTTTTCGATACAAAGAAAATGTTCATGCTTTTTTAATTTGTCATTTATTAAAAT